CTCCATCTCTCATAGTGACTACTGAACCTTTGGATTCTAAGGCTCCCAACGAGATGAGATTTTTCTTCAAACTGGGCACGTATCGGACATCCGTCAGAACTCTGGTTGATCCATCTTGATTCTTCAATCGAATTGAACCTATCCCAACAGTTTTACAGGCATTGTCATTGCCTATATAAACAACTCATGCATTTAGTTCCACTAAATCGGAGAACCACTCCCGATTAGGGGACATATGATAGGTGCAACCCGAATCTAATATCCACTCATCGGAATGGAATGTTGTTAATGAAGCAACCAATGATATGTCAGGGTCATGTGCATCATGCTCTGCAACACATGCATCTGGAGCAGCTTTTCCTTTCTTCTTCAGCTTCGGACAATCTTTCTTACAATGACCTTTCTCATGACAAAAGGCACATTCATCTTTTCCCAGTCTGGACTTCGACTTTGATCTCCCTCTCCACTTTGGCTTTTGACTTTTCGAGCGACCTCTTGCCACCATGACCTCCGCTGCTTCGTACTTGCTCTCCTTGTTGGTTTTCTTCCTGGGTTCATAACTATGCAAAGCAGCAGTTACATCTTTAAGGGTAACATTATTCTTACCATGAAGTAACGTTGTTTCAAGGTGCTCAAATTCATCTGGAAGAGATGACAACAACATCAAAGTCAAATCTTCATCTTTGAAGGTTTCATCCATGCCCAATAAGTATTCCACTAGCTCATTGAACGCAGTGATGTGTTCATTCATACTGGTGTCTGGTTGATAATCAAATCTGAACAATCTTTTCTTCATGTGGAGACGATTCTGAGAGCTTTTCTTCAGGAATTTTTCCTCCAAAGCTTTCCACATCTTACTTGCAGAAGTCTCGTTCTTGTAGCCATACTTCTGCTCCCTGGAAAGACAAGATCGAATCGTGTTGCACGCCAAACGATTGATTGTTCCCCATTCTTTCTCCTCCATATATTCGGGTTTTTCTTCCTTAATGGCGATGTCTAGACCTTGTTGGAATAAAACGTCTAACACCTCGCCTTGCCACATGCCAAAATGACCGGATCCATCGAACAACTCCACCGAGAAATTTGCATTTGACATCACCCTCCTCACCGGTCCAGATGAAGAGCTTGATGTCTCAATTGATCCGTATTTTGGCCTTTTAATTGTAACGAACAATATTCAATATCACGAACTGTATCTTTTCAGCAACGGAACCACCAAGATAACCTTAACCGAAGCTCTGATGCCAATTGTTGGGGAAAACGGATTATTTCCCACACGAACGTAGTTTTAAAATTGACCTAAAATGTCAAGATTAAAACCACCAAAGGTTGCACAACGGATAAACCTGTTAAACTATTGAATATTGAAACACAATGGAAAAGAACCGAATAAAAAACAATAAAGGAGAGAACACACCAAATTTACGAGGTTCGACGAGAATATCGTCTACTCCTCGGGCACCATACCGTATGATAACTTCACTATATCGCCAATATTACAACAAATTGAATTCTTTGGAATTCCCAAAGTAAGAGAATGAAGAATACAAGAGGAAGAGAGAACTTGTTTTTGAGATGATTTCTAATGGAAATACTTATGCCTATTTATAGTTGAGTTTCAAGAACAATATGTTCAAAGTTTGGCCACCTACCAAAGAATTTTCCAATATGTACAAGTTAGCCACCAAATATGAAATTCACATGTTCAAAGTTTGGCCACCAACCAAGATGAAATGAAATTTCAAATTGCCAACTTAATTTCTAGACATATCTAACAAGAACAACATCAATGACTTAAATCCAAAAACACTAGCAAGTTTTAAATTGACACAAAAATGGTAACAAACAAAAATTAGAAATCGAAAACAAAGTTGCAAGAGAACTGGGTTCATAATAAACATGAAAAGACTAATGGAACATCAACTATGCATCAGCATTTCTGCCATAGCAAATTTGCAACTATCGGCAGAGCTGCTCAACGGCTGTCACAATCTGGGCAGGCTGAACGACAGTTACTTCCTCAAGTGTTCCCGCATATGGTGTAGGGACATCCTGTGAAGATAAGCACATAATTGGAGCATCCAAATAATCATTGAAATTCTCGGTAATGGCAGCCGTCAAGCTAGCACCAATACCACCAGTCCGCATGCACTCCTCCACAATAAGAACACGATGTGTCTTCTTTACTGAGTTCCCAATTGTGTATAGATCAAATGGTTTCAAAGACCTAATATCAATTACTTCGGGATCATATCCCTTGTTCACCAAAGTTTTAGCTGCCTGCATCACATGATATCTCATCCTTGAATAGGTTAGAATGGTGACATGTTCTCCAGGCCTCACCATCTCAGCTTCCTCAAGATTACAGATATAATCCTCATCTGGGATTCTCTCCTTGAGGTTGTAAAGCAAAACATGCTCAAAAAGGATAACAGGGTTCTCACTTCTGATTGCAGCCTTCATTAAACCCTTGGCATTGTAAGGGGTTGAACATGCAACCATTTGGATTCCAGGGATTGATTGAAAGTATGATTCAAGACGTTGAGAGTGCTCAGCCCCTAGTTGGCGTCCAACACCACCAGGCCCACGAATGACGATAGGTATGGTAAACTGGCCACCAGATGTATAATGAAGCATACCGCAGTTGTTGGAGATCTGATTAAAAGCAAGGAGAAGAAATCCCATGTTCATTCCCTCAACAACCGGTCTCAAACCAGTCATAGCAGCTCCAATTCCCATGCCAGTGAAGGAATTCTCAGCAATCGGGGTATCAAGAACCCTAAGGTCCCCAAATTTTTTAGCCAGTCCTTTGGTCACTTTGTATGAGCCTCCATAGTGACCCACATCTTCACCCATGACACAGACACGAAGATCCCTATCCATTTCTTCTTCTAAGCCCTCTTGAAGAGCTTCAAAAAGTAAAAGCTCATGCCTGCAATACAATATATATCTAGTTAAATACTGATAATAGGACATGATGTTGTTAACATTTGTCCATAAAAAAAGTAAACAGCAGACACAATTGTGAATTTTTTATAACAAGTACGACTGTAAAAATTTGTACGATGCAATGTAACTCCATAGCAATACACAGAAACAGATACAATATTTATACACGCATAAAAACCTATATGCATACATGGATAGAAGCATGCATGAATACACCCAGGACTCAAGTGACAGCCTTTTCATTTAACATCTGACAACTGACAGTCTGACATAAATGTCCACGTCATTCAGTTGACAGATAGAGAGAACTAAATCCTTGAAGTAACAGTTGCATGAATGGTACCAAATTACTGAACCTCAAACCGTACATAAGGTTAGATACTTTGTTATACAGGCATCTCAAACAGAAACTTATCTACACAAACCAGAGGCATAGTACAACCTAGAAAGTATGGTATCATTGGTAATTCTCTTATATTTAAAAAGTCGTACATTGGAAAATAGTTATCAAACAAAAGAAAAGAAAATTTCGCTTATTATGACTACAAGAACATTTTCCAGCAGAGGATAAATCTGAATAGAAAGCCAAAATACATTAGATTCCAAAATAAGACCGCAAGAACAACAACAACAGAAAGTAAAGAATTCAATGTTATCTTACAGGAATGTAACACTAATTCGTAAGTTAAATCAGAGTAAGAAATAGAATCATACCCTGGTTTCGAAGATGAAGAGACAGCGGCGCTATCAGCTTTGGTCTAGTTAAAATTAAAATTACATTAGCAACACAAAATAAATAAATAATCGAACCTTAAGATTCTACACGCAAGAGAGAGAGAGAGAGATTAATTACTGCAACTGCATTGGAAATCAATTGTTGAGCCCTTCGACCCTTAGAGTTCAGATTCAGGATTCCACCAGATCTGATCACTGAAAAGCTCGCTCCTTTCCCCACTGCACAAAATCAAATTTAGAAGAAAAAAAACGAAGTTAAAAATTAAGTGAAAATAAAATAAAATCCAATGAGTAGCTTACCGGAGAAGGATCTAGGAGGTGATAAAAAGGAGTTATTGGAATCGAAAGAATTAGACGGTGAGGATGATAAAGTTGCGGCAGCTCCAACTCCTTGGAAGATCGCAGCCATTGGTTTTGCACCCGCGAAAAAAAAATGAACTGTTATTTCAAAGAAATGGAACCGCAAATGAGTTACGAAGAGAAGACTGAATATATATACTTGAAAAAATGAAAAGAAAATGGGCGGAGAATTTGAGGCTCTTTTTAGGGAAAATTCTTACTTAGTCATTAAATTATTTCAACAGATTCATTTTGGTCAATTAATTATTTTTTTAAATCATCATTAACATTACGTATTAAATTCATTTTAATCTTTGGTCGTTAAAAATTTAGCATAATTTTCTATATGATTTTTTTAATAATGATGTAACACTAATTTATGATGATGCATTAGTAACCAATTTTTTTATTAAATAACATTAATAATGATTTGGGTATCATATTAATTGGTTTGGGTTTGTTAGAGTGATATGTTGAGTTAGTTGTAGCGCATACTAAAGGAAAAATCTTTTTAGGGATCGTAATTTATGTTGTTTGGTGTTGTTATATTTATCATATTTGACAGGAGAATAATGATAGATTGCATAGAATTAGTCTTAGAGGCATTGAGGGTATGGTTTCACTTATAAAGAGTAATGTTTCGTTGAAGTTAAAGGAGTGTATTTGAGACAGAACTTTGGGCTTGTTGCTGAATGTGACTTGTTATAGGATATTTTTTCTTCTATTCTTTATTATGATGTTTATTAATAATTAGAATTATGATTAATTTAATATAATATGACAATTTCAAATATTTAATTTATTATCATATTAATTAAAAGTACATAAAATTGATCGTTTTATAATTATTGTTCTTAAGTACTCCGTTTTCAAAATTGACACGAAGCTCCTTTATATTGGGATCAATTTGTTTAATTTTAAATTAGGATAGACTTCAGATGAATTTTACCAAAATATAGGCATATCTCTTCTGCATATGGCAATGCGAAACGGTGGTAAAACACCAACCACAACAAGGTCAAGTTAGGAGTCGCATGTAACAAGTGCTGCTCGACGGGAAAATGGAAGTTTTCTATCTCTTATGCTCAATCCTGTCCACATTTTTCACTTCCCTCGCTCTCTCTCTCTTCCTTCCCTTCCGCTTCTACTTCACGCGCCACCGTCCTCATCCTCCACTCTCCACCACCCAAGTTGAAGCTGTTTCTCTCTACGAAGGTACTGTATGGCACGAGCGTCGCCGCCCCATCCGCCATTCTTTCCGGTACTCCGTTCGCTACGCTCTTTTCGACCTAGATCACGCTCCCAACACGCCTCCCGACCACCTTTCCGTCGAAGAGGCTCGTAGGTTTACCAAAACTGACGGCCCTGTGTAAGTTCCTGAATTTTCTTACCCCTTCTTTTGTCAACACTTTTTTTTAAAGTTTTATCTCAATTATTTGAGTATTATGATGAAATAACTGTGACAGTTTTCTGCTAACAATTCCTCCAAGCGTGGGGTACGAACAGAATCCATTGAGCATATATTATTGCTATGATTTGGAAGGAAACGCTAAGCTTCTGAAGAAGTGCATTGCTGAGGTTTGTATTTTCTTTGTTGAATTTTCCCCAAATGGAAACCAAAGCTTATAAATACTAGCTACTTTAGTTTTGCTATAGAACTCATTCAATGTCGAATTCTACTACTTTATTTGTTGACATCGCTGTTGATTTGTATTTTAGGTAACTAATACCCCCTGGGGCGAAAGAGTATTATTTGTTTTCGACCCAGATTCTGATTTAGTGGCAAAACCATTGCATGTCAGCCCTTTCATGGTACACTCTCTGTGAATCCTTCATTCCTGTACATTTGTTGTTCTAGCTTTACCCATTTCATTAGTTTCTAGTGTTATGTATTTATATATCCACATATTGTTATTCGTTAAGAATTCAGGGGGTTTACATCTCATTATAATTTCAGATGTTTTCATTATTGGATTTATAAATAAGTGTTGACAAATTCTTCTATAAATTTTACTCCAGCATGAATATGGCGACTATTTGGTGTAGATAAATTAATCAATATGACTAAATATTCATTCCAGACTTTGATTCTATCATGCATCATTCAAGAATTGCATTTTCTCTAACCATGTGAGCATCGTGGGGAAAATGTGCAGGATATGCTCGGGAATTGGAGCCTTAGAGCAAATGCTCCTGATCAAAATTTACTGGTTACAATTTCTGTTCAACATCCTGAGCTTGGTGATTATTTTTTCGCCACCTTGAAAGCCAAAAGAGTCTCTCAGGAATCAGTGCATGACCATGCACTGTTTTTCTGGTTGATGCCTCATAAAGTTGCCCTGTGGATATACTGGCATGTAAGTCGAACTAAAAAGTGCTCAACTTTGGTATGGGTTGGACTCTTGAGCTTACTATGAACTCCATCAGTTCTCTACTGCTTCGGCCTTCGTGTGATTATGTTGATAGAAAAGCATTTTACAGCCTAAAAGCAGTTTTATAGTCACTTCTATTTTTCTTTGTTTCTTATATCACCCTTAAGACTATTAATACTCTAAAATCTTTCTGGCGAATTTTACTGGGTAGAAGGGTTTGCATTTTCATTTATACTGAAATAAGGAATTAAAATACCCGTTTTTCTGCTTGTGGTTTGTATCCTTGACATTAGCTGTATAATGCGGACTAGTACAACATGCTTTGCAGATGTCGGAGAGAGTAAGACGAATAGAGGAAATTCAGTAGAATTCTTGGGAATTGCTTGGGTGATTTAACAAAAATAAGAACAAACATTTTTTAATGAAAATAAGGTATAAAGAGAGCTCCATTTTTCAATCTTGAAAGAGAAGTACAATACTCAGCTAGTTTCAAGCATAGTCAATTGTTTATTTAAACTCTAATTAATTATGCTTCTTGATCAGCTAAGCTATTCAAGTGTAGATATATGGACTTATCTCAAGGCCTATTGCCTGTATTGCAACTTTGTTGAACTTTTATGTTTAGCAATTATGATCTGAGTGCTGAATTGATATATCAGAATCAATTTGCAGTTCAACAGTGTAAGCTATGTAAATTGACATCTTTTGTGGGAACAACTATGCATTTAGGTGCCTGTAATAAAAGTTTTACTTTCAATGTTTTACACCATTCACCATTACAAGCTCGGGAGCACGTAGAAATTCAAGATTAGTTTGTTACTCTTCAGCTGGACTGTGTTTTATTTGGATATACCCCAGAGGTTGAGTGACCATTGGTTTTAGTGTTGCCGTTAGGAATGTCTGGTCTATGAACTCACTCAGCCTCACAGAGCTTGGTCTGGATTGCTGGATGCTTTAGGATATAATCATTGTGTTCATAATTCCCAATTACTATTTTTTTCCCAGGCTCTAAAGCTATGGTGGAAAAATGTGTCATTCATACAACATCCGAGGTACACTAAGCCGTCATACAGAGAGGAAGCTTCGAATCGAAATAGGAAACTGCTATGCTGTCCTGGATTAAGATGGAACAAAGACAAACACATGCAGGTTGGAGGAAGTGATTCGGTAACCGAGGTTGAGACAGATCATGAGGAACGATGTTTTGTATGGAGAGATGCTAAGTGGCCATGGTCTTGAATACTACATGAGTGATGAGTGAGCTTTCCCTATCATTTTGAGCCCATTATGCTTTATTACAAACAATATCGAGCTTGCAGGCCAAACAAAAGAAGGAATAGTGTTCTATTCGAGACTGGTGTTGGCTATTGCAATAAGGTAATTAAATATCATGAACCAAGTCTATATATAGGTGGAGATATTCCCTTGAAGAGCTTAATTGAGTAATTACAATAGCTGTGAAGTTTATTACTTGAATTTTATGTTAAAACTATGCTTTAATTATAGTTCATGCTTGACCAAAAATTATTTTGTATTATTTTCACAGGTTCTCCTAGTTCATTATATATTAGTATGATAATATATTAGTATTAAATATTATTTTATCAGTTTGATCCTAGAATCCGGTCATTGTCGGCCACTGACATTGACTGTCATCGTAATGGTTGGACCCTAAAATTCTAATTAATCTTTTTTTTAATCTTTGAATATGAATCGTGTGTGAGTATATATATATATATATATATATATAGTGGTAGAAAATGAAAAAATATTCACTGGAAAAAAATAAGGAGGTAATTTTAATCTTTGATCTCTTTCAATCTAATGTTTCTAAAATTATGTAAAACAATAAGAGTTTTAAACAGCGTAAGTAGAACTTAACCTATTAATAGTAAAAAATGAAAAGATATTCATTGAAAAAAATAATAAATTAATCACAGTCTTTGATATTTTTTTATTCAATTGTCTAGAAAAATGTGAAACTAAAAGAGATTTACTAAATACAAGTGAACCTAACCATATGTGCGAGTGTGTTGATGATGTTGTTTCAAGATGATTCATTAAAAAAGAGAAAAAAAAGAAATATGGTAACGGTGATTGGTGCGAGTGGATGATGGTGAAAGGGATAATGATGAAAATAAGTTAGTAAACGAATAAAATCAATGTAAGATTTAAATATTAATAGTTAATTTTTATGTATGATCAAATTAAAATAATTTATAGGTATTAAAGATTAAATAAATTATTATATCAATTCTATTATTTATCACATTAATTTTATATTTAAAAATCAGCGGTCAAATTATACTATTTCATACTCGGGGGACCTAAATGAAAATTTATTATAATCAAGGGATTATTTGCATAATTTACCCTATAAACAAATTAATTAGAAGTATCATCCATCCTATTGCCTATAAAACAGTATTGTTGAATTTTAGAATTGTTACCATAAACTCAAACGCTAGTTAATATTAGAAGAAACTATCCAAAAGAAGATTATGAAAAAAAGAAAAGAATAAAACTACATATTTTTAAATTTGTCTATAACTAACTTTTAAACAACGATTTACTTTGCATATTTAACTTTGATTATGTGTTGTAAGCAACCAACTAAAACAAACAAACAAAATATTGTCATTTTACGTCTATCTGTATTATATTACTTATTTAAAACACTAATATTAATAGAAAGACAATTAAACAGAAACAACAGTCTCGGAATTTCCGAAGAGAAATCCACCCCATTTCTGTCTCATTTAATACAAAGATACATCGCTTTCAAGAATAAATAAATTATCAAGGAAAATTCTAGAACGCATGTGATTCGTTGCAATTCACCGCTAATTTTATACAGTAAAATTTACAAATGGTCATTAAACTATGTGAAAATTATCCTTTTGAACATTTAACTTCTAAACGTTACATAATGAATATTAAATTTTAATTTTGTTACAAAATGGGCACAAAACCATTAAGAAATATCTCTTTTGACCCTTAAATTATAACTAAAATTTAATTTACTCATAATTTTAATTAAAATATTTTTTATTAGGTTCGTTGAATTGAAAATAAAATAGATATAGATAAAATAAACACAATCTTTTAATTTTATATTATAAATATTAAATTTGTACCATATAAATTAAAAATTATTTGATATGATATTATAAAATTATGGATGTATGATTTTTAAATTACATTAAATTTTTTTAAATAAAAGTTAAATGCTTAAATCACATCATTAATAAAAAAAAATAATTTTATTATTTGATAATATAAATTTTCGGACGTCAAAAATTATAAATTTTTTATTTTAAAAATACAACAACAGTTAAATAAATAATTAGTTGTAAAATAATTTTTGCTTAATAAAAAAATTAATTTCATTGTTTGATGACTGAATTTTTTGAAAATATTTTTTAATTTTAAAAATAATTTATTTTCATATATTTTAAAAATATTCTAAAAATCCTATTTTTTTTAGAATTACTACTTAAAAACGTTGAAAACTATTAAAGTGAAATTTTAGTTATAATTGAGGGGCTAAATAAGATATTTTTCATTAATTTACCTTAATAACATTTAACGATTGTTATTTATTTAATTTAACAAAGTTCAAAGATTAATATCTATTATGTAACTTTTAAAAATTCAATGACAAATAAAACAAATTTAAAAACAATTGTTACTATTTATGAAATTTACCCTGTTTTATATTAGTGGTGCATTTCAATGCATGTTATTAGTGGCACGTTATCAATATGTTTAGTATATTTACCTTTCTTTTGTGATGTTAAATTAAATCAGTGTCCATTCATTTATTTAATTAATAGGATTATTAGTTCCTAAGGTCTTCAAACTTTCGAAAGAAATTAAGTGGCTTTTAAACTTTTTATTTTTTATTTTAAATTAGACCTAATTGGTGGTATCTATATTGCCACATATGTGAGTTGAACATGTATTCAAAATTTAAAATTTGACCCTTAAATATTTTGTATCCTTTTATTTTTATTTAAGATCTTGGGTTTGAACAACTATCTTTGAAAGATCGATGTATGTACATTGTCAATAGTTAAAAAAATTAAATAGAAAATACCTTATAATTACCTTAGACTATTAAAAAAACTAACCATCTAATATTTTAATAACATAAAATAAATAAAGTTTTTTATTTAAATATATAATTTTTAAAGATTAAATGTTAACATAAAATTTGTAAGATTAGACATATTTTTGCACACATGATCTCTAAAATAACCATGTATCAATAATTAAAATGAAAAAGAAAAGAAGAAAATGAAACAAAAAATAAATAAATTTTATTTAAATTATATATATATATATATGATATGGGTTAAAGGCATGAGCATGAGTTAAATAACAATAATAATACATACATACATACATATGAATTTTATCTTTAATCAATAAATAAGTATATATTTAAAAGATTATATTTAAAGGGGTAAAAAAATTAATATCTAACCAATGTGAAACTTGCACTACCAAATCCCACATTGATTAGATATTAGCTTTCTAAGTATTTAAATATAATCTTTTAATACTCACCGATAGGGATAGACATATGATTTTATATTAGGAGTATGAACTTAAAATTTTATATTTAAATTTTAGAAGATACAAAATTAAATTATCATTAGAAATTATAAAAAAATACTTAAAATATTTAAAATTTTAATATTTACAAGGTGTGAACAAAATATATAAATTTTAAAGACTAAAATATTGTTCTACCCTCCAGATAAAATACTTGTCTAAATTTTAATTTCATGATGATATATTTTTAATAAAGTTTTAATTAGATAATATACTTATAATTTTTAGGGAAAGAAATATATTTACTACTAAAACTATAATCAAGTGATTTTGTATGTAATTTACCCATTAATTAAAAATAGGTCTTTGTACTTTTGTGGGATAGTTTTGATGCATGACATCATAATATAAACCAAAAGAAAGGCGTAACCAGAAATGTTGATATTTTTTTAATATTTCTGATAGTGTCTAATGTTAATATTTTCGGTATAAAAAAATATTTTAGGTAACACTCTATTAAAAATGTTTAAAAGATATTAACATTTCTAATAACATATTTTCTTAGACTTATATTAGTCTGTCTTCTTTAGAATCTCAATTTTGTTATACAAATGGAAAACGTAATTAGGAAACAAAAGAATACATGTTGCACGTGCTTAAATAAAAGCAATATTCCACAGCTATTTTTTACGTAGTCGTGTTGTGTGCCTCGTTTCAGTGCATAACGTGTTTAGCGTTGCTTTCAAAACAACTGTGCCCACCACAAGATTCCAACCCGGCCCCTTTGTATAAAATCCCTTCTTCTTCTTCATCTCCCCCCTCCATCTTATCATTGTCTTCTGTCCTTTGAATTTACCATTTCTTCATATTCGCCAAAACACACCTTTCTCCCTCTCTCAGTCGCTTTGTTTGGAACAACGGTACTTTGATATTCATAAATCAACATGAGACGAAACTGCAACTTGGAACTTCGCCTTCTTCCTTCTACTTGTGCCGGCGACAGCCACGAAATGATGGATTTTTTTGCTGATCAAAGAGTACTGGAAGAAAGAAGCGAAAACCAGCAGCAACAGCTAACGATTTTTTACAATGGAAGAGTTTGCGTTTGTGATGTTACAGAGCTTCAGGTTAGGATTGATTTTAGTTGATAAACTTTATGCAATTCATGCCTTAGAATTGAATTAAGGGATCATTGATTATTTGTTCGTTCAAATCAAATGTTTAAATTTTTTTTAGATCTAAAACAGATTGCTGGGTTTGTTTTATTGCAGGCAAGAGCCATTCTAATGCTTGCAAGCCGGGAAAGGGATGAAACAATAAGAACCCCGACCGGATTAGAACCGGCGATGCCGACGTTAAAATCTCCGGTGAATAGCCCAAGCATGGCGCTTTCCATGAAGAGATCGCTACAACGGTTCCTCCAAAAACGACAGACGCGAATCCAAGCTACCTCTCCTTACCATTATCATAAATAGATCATCATCAATGCTTGGGATTTTGTGGAACCTAAGAAACTGATCTATCTTTCTGTTTAGCTATTAATGCCCATTTCTTTTTTCCTCTAAATTTATGTATGAATTAAGCGACTAGTAGTAGCTTGAAGCCAATTTTTTTGTTACACTAATTTGTTGTTTCTTTTTACCGTATTAAAAACCCTAAAATATTTATCTTTTTGTTAGTTTAATCATTCCTATTATTTTTATGATCGCAGTCACTAAAAATGTAGTATATAATAATAATTTTAATTTTTAAAATTTATATATTTTTATCAATTTAATTGTAAATTAAAATAATTTAATAAATTTAACTTTTAAATATTTAAAAACATATTAATTTATCCTCATTTTTATTCTAGGCATTTTAATAAATTTCACCATTCAATAAATTTAGAGGGGAGGGAATAAAGATGAGCTCTCAAATATGCTTACTCAAATTTATTTAATTATTTTAAATTAAAATTAAATTGATAAAATATATAAATTTTAATCGTCAAAACTATTCTCACACCATTTTACGTAATATTTTCCATTACTTTATTATTAGTCTAATACAAAAGTTGGTTCGATTGAAAATATATTCGAATAATAATAATGCTAGATTCGAGCTAATGAGAGATAATCAAGTACTTTTCGATGAAAGTGTTTGTTTGTTTGATTTAACACTTTTTATGTTTATAGTTTGATATTATATGATATTTTATATTTTATTGAATTTTTTATTCTAATAATTTTATGAATATTTTAATAATGTTTAATATTTCTAAAAAAATTAAAGATAAAATAAACTCTTAAACTCGGTTAAAAAATCAATTATATCCTCAAACTCGAGTAAAAAAATTAATTATCCTTCTATCATGTCATGTCAGTATTCACACGTGAATTGTTACATAAGTATTACGGATCACCACATTATTACAGTGGATCACTACATTAATGTTGTTAACGGCCACGTAATCAGTGTTACTACTAGTGTTTGTAAAAAAAACAAAATTGATAGAATTAAATGATTTTGACGATAAATTTAATATTGTTTAAAAAAACTACTGATTTAAATTTACTAAAAATCAAAACCAACCCTAAAACATTAAATTTTTAATATCACACTACCATACAATGTTATATGAAAGATAAAACACTAGAAACACAAAAATTATAATATCATGTACCAAAAGAATGAAATAAACTTGAGAATTTGGGAAATGGGAAAGCTGGCAACTTGATGCAAACGCGTATAAAATTTAGTAAGAGCCGACCCAAGAGAAAGCAAAATACTCGACAATCTCAGTAACTCATATGTGACCATATCGCACGGGCAGAAAACGAAAAACATGAAATCGCAAGGAAACTAAGTTCCCCGCCCGCGGGTTTCACGCCTTTGCTAATGAAGACGCGTATGGATTCTATGTTAACAGAAATTGAAGCCGAAACATCAGTTCTGCTAAGTAGGTCCACAAAATTTATGGCAAAACATAACCAACCAACGCCTAAATTGGCATCAAGTTTTTAGTATGTACATTAAATCGAATCAGATCCCAGTCCGTACCATCAAAGCTTTGTTTAAAGTTAAATTTAGGGTAAAATATATAAATAATCCCCAAACTTTTAGGACGCTTGTATTTTGGTAACCTAACTTTTGAAAATTACAATACAGTCATCAAACTTTTAATTCGTTTTTATTTTGATCCCTACCATTACCTCCGTCAGTGGTTGCTGACGTGGCACTTAACCCGTTAATTTTTCCTGACGTGGCATTTTCTACTTCCTCCTCTTCTTCTTCTTCTTCTTTTTCCCACACACTCTCTCAATAAAATCTCAGATCCAAAATCTTGCCATTTCTTGAATTCCTTTTCTCTCTCTATTTTCCCAAGAAAATTCAGCTTCTCTCCCTACTTTCTCGGGAAAAAGAATAAAAAAGATTAGGGAAGTAGCAGCAAATAAAAAGGTCTCCTCAGATAATCAGATATAATGCAAAGGTACAATAAGTCCTTTGATAAAAATGCATCATTATCTAAAGGCCCTCAACATGCAGAATCACACATCTTTAGGCATCGAATAGAACACAGTTTTTTAGGCCTTTAAACTGATGTGGGCTACAGGATTAAAGACAAAATCCTTTTACTTCAGTCTTCAGTTTATAGCATCTTCTAGCTTCGAAATTATAAAATACTCATATTTATTTAGTTAATTGAAAAAAAAATTACAGGGGCAAAGCATCTGAAACAAAAAAAATCTAGTACCGACACATAAGAAGGTATTGATACCGCACAATCATGCATTAGAGAGCTTTAGAATACTTTCCCATGGCAAGCACCAAACATACTTTCCCATGGAAAACATCGAGGGAGTTGCGGGGATCATCCAATCAGTCCCAACATATTTTAGAATAGTATGCTAGTTTTGCGTCATAAACAGCAATGGAAACTCAAAAGGAATTCTTAATTAGAGAAGCTGGCGGATCGGATATCAGCAAAAAGTGATCGGATATTAGCAAAAAAGAAGGAATTATATGATAGCAATACAAAACATCCACGAAGCCAAATTAGAGAAGCGGTTGATCATAAGCACCTGACATTGAAGATTCATGAAACTAATAAAACACGAGTAAAATAGAATAAATGCTCATCATTTCTATAATGTTTGGAAGTTATGTTTCCCTAGACCATAATAAATTTACACCTAACTTTTCACGTCACGAAGACTTCTCGAGCATTTTTTTCCAATGTTTGTTCGGGATACGCTCTACTATGTTTCAGTTTGTCTATGGTGCTATTCATTTTGAACCAGATATGATAACTCAACAGTCAACATGGAGTTATGAAGCAGATGACTTGGAATTTGAGGGCCAAAATCAAGATTCACTAGTTAAAAGCACGATAAATTCTTCCAAGTTGTGCCAAATTTTCATCCATCCACTCTTTAAATTCCTCCAAGTATACCCGTCATATTTCTTTTTTATTCTTTTTCCCAAGAAAGTAGAGAGAGAAGCTGAATTTTTTTGGGAAAATAGTGAGAAAAGGAATTCAAGAAATGGCAAGGTTTTGAATATGACATTTCATTGAGAGAGTGTGTGAGAAGAAGAGGAGGAGGAAGAAGAAAGAAGGAAGAAGAGGAGGAGGAAGAAGTAGAAGATGCCACGTCAGAAAAAGTTAACGGGTTAAGTGCCACATCAGCAAGAGGCAACGGCAGGGACCAAAATGAAAATGAACTAAAAGTTTGATGAATATATTGTAAGTTTCAAAAGTTGGATAACCAAAATATAAGCGACCTAAAAGTTTGGAGACTATTTATGTATTTTACCCTTAAATTTGATAATCCTTCTTAGTGAACTTAAGTTCGAAACATTATCATTGATTATAAAAGATTTTGAGTAGATACTATCCTCTAATCATCTTGTATTATTAAAACAAAGTTAAATTTAACCGACAAATTATACGTTTTGTCCATTAGGATAAAATTTTAAGTACGAGTATTCGAGTTCAATGACTTCTTTTTTTCACCTTCGAATGTTTTAAAAAGGTTATTTTAGTTTTACTTTATCGAATATATAATTTAATTTTTATTTTAAACCAATAATTTTTTTAACGAAGCACATTTTCTTGGAATCAGGATATAACATTATAATATATCATCGTCAAGATTGAGCTGAGCCAGTTTGACATTCCATAATTTGGAGGAATAAAAAGGAGCAAACATTTATAAAATTAACGCCTTTTGCACGAGCTAATTTCTTACACTTGTATGAAGCGCCGAGTTTGAGGTGATAATTAAAGTTTATTCTCAGAACTTATTTCCCATTTGCAATGCGCAATTTCATAGAAACACACCAACCGGGTTACAGCCTGGGCACAACACGAGGTTTGTCCCAGTCGGCCACAATGTGGTTGCGCGTGATCTCCTTCAGCGAGCGGCAACCACTTAATGCCATGGTCAGCTCAAATTCATCACGTAGCATCTCAAGCACTTTCCTAACACCAGCTTCGCCTTCAGCAGCCAACGAAAACACCACCGGCCTTCCAATCTGAAATAAAAAAATTGGAACACACCCAATGAATTCATCTATGCCATTGAGATTTCAAATGCTCTCCAAACAGAACATTCTCAATGTTCCAAGTCGTCTATTGGAACAGCAGAAAGGAAGGATAGGCTAATTGGACCAATGTCTGTTTTTCGTATCTTAATTATATAAGTGCTTACAAATATTCCCGATGCTCCCAGAGCCAATGCCTTGAAGACGTCGGTTCCACGCCGAACCCCTCCATCGAGAAAAACAGGAACTCTGCCTTGGGCAGCTTTAACCACCTGTACGTCGGCTCCAAAAAGGTATTAAAACTCTAGCAGTAGTACAGAAACACGATTTGATAATACATCTTTCAAACCAGAAAAAGAAGAAGCATTTGTACCTCTTCCAAGGCCATGATAGTTGCAGGTACATAATCAAGCTGGCGAGCTCCATGATTGGATACAATAATGCCTGCTGCTCCAGATTCTACGGCTAACCTTGCTGCAATATTAACATTGTAGAGTTTTCATGGCAAGAACGAAAAGAAGCTTCATCGAGTTGGTTCTTTCTTTAAGGTCAGCTTGCTTACCATCCTCGGCAGTAAGGACACCTTTAACTAGAATGGGCAATGATGTGATTGTCTGAAGCCACTTCACGTCCTGTTTTATAAAACATAAACACAATTTGAGTATATATTTCTATTTGATGCAGTACCGGAAACGTAATGTATAAAAGAAACTTACTTTCCAGCTAAGTGTCCGATCAATTTGGCCAGAAACATAGGAAGCTAGTCCGGAGTCATCGGTCTGCAAGATAATCGCAGGATTTGATGAAACAATGGGTAAAGTAAATAACGAACAACAGAGAGTGATTAGAGATACATATCTCCTACCTTATCCATTTTGCCAAGGTTCAAACCCTCAAAGTTTTTCAAAGTCAGGAATGGTGGCAAAGTAAATCTGCAAATGAGTCCATGCAAGAAATAATGAAGCCAAAATAAGACCTCCTTTCTTTTACCAAAACTTCCCATTGTTAATTAATTAATTTGCTTGCATTTATTGCCTCACCTGTTCTTGATATCAGCTTCCCTGCGACCAAGTCTTGGAGTGTCCACGGTAAGGGCAATCGCCTTGAAACCAGCTCTTTCGGCTCTTCTCACAAGCTGTGCAACCACATTCCTGTCTTTGTATACCTGATCAAAAAAACAGTAACCATTGATTACTCGATGATTCAGACAATTTATATCTCAATGCTCACAGGCAATACTAAATAGAGAACAGTGTAAAGATGAGTTCTCAGATTCACATAGAGCTGGAAAAAGCGAACGCCAGGTCCCGTTGAAGCGACCTCCTCAACACTGGAAGTAGCCCATGAGGATAGTGTCTGAAGGGGAAAACATAAATAATCTAAAACAACGAACTGCTGAATGTGGAACAAAAGCCATGGAAAAATTCGGATTTAAAGTAAAGATGAATGAATGATTAGAATCAAACCATTATTGTTCCAGCAGCTGAAGCTGCTCGGGCTGTTGCGTATTCTCCTGCATAAAGAAACACACTTTAAAGTTAGGACTTAGGACACGGATAAACCGCTTAGAACAAGTATTCAACACATACACACAATCTTATAATAGTATTCCAGTAAAAGACAACAAACCAGCTCCATAAGTAACATCGAACAATGCTATCTTAAAAAAACATTATGTCCAGTTGTTCAACTTCTATGGCAAAGTTGGTGAACAAATCGTAAATATTTACAAACAAATTTCATAAAGAATTTGCTGTTATATCACAATAAGAAACTTAAATTTTATATCTTATTTACAGCTTTGCTTCTATGAATCACTATTCTACAAAAGAATTTTGTTTCCAAAACACCAAAGTTGCAATGTCAATCATCATGTAGGTAGAAAAATGATGATTGGCATTGCAATTTCATTAACCTTGTGAATATCTTATATAACTTTGGTGTATAGATTATATGCTTGTTCTAAGCAGTTAATGGCAAAACATAAGTATTCATACCGTCAGGGTGAGCCATTTTCTGCATAGCAGTTGGGGCAATCATGATAGGCATCGAAATCTTGAATCCCAAGACAGTAGTGGTCATGTCAATCTTGCTAACATCAATAAGAATGCGGGGCCGAAACCTATTTTCCAGGAAAATTAATGAATAGCATCACTAAATGAAAACACAAACTATCATATATCTTAACCTACAAAGGATAGCCGGAAAACTTTTAAGTAATGATTCTTTTCTGAGTGCAAGTCCACAACACGAAAGCTAATTCATTTGTAAATTAACAGAACTTACAAAATCCTAGAAAATGCATTTCGATTCTCCTTGAGAGTCCACTGGTCCTCTGCACCTGATGCATAGTAGTCATAAACCATCTTGGGTAACTTTTCCTTTGCAATTGCCTCATATTCAGACACATTAGTTATCTCCATTTTTTTTCTCCCAAACTAATCTGAGTTCCGGAAGAAAAAAATTGTCAGAGTGATATCATTCAGAGAGATTACATAATAGGAGAGCTAAAATAAAGGTGACTATCAAGAGTTTAAGGAAACAACAAATCGTTAAGTGAATAAGACCCAGGATTTAAACCAGCAACCGCAATCTAAATCCCTGAATAAACACAAAAATCCCCAGCACAGAACAATTAGGAGTCCTTTCAGCACTTTTACCCATACTTTTTACAAATCCACTTAAATCTTCTGTTGAATTAAGAGATCTCCACTACATCCAACTCTATAAGGAACATAGTGAAAACGACCATATGATAGTAACTAAAGCTGATGATTGCAACTTTCAAAAAAAAAAGCTGATGATTGCATATATAATCCACATGAATAAAATTAACAGAAAACGGTTGACAAGTTTCGATCTTTCAATCATTATTCAACCGAAACCGGATATCAGTTTCAAACCCATCATCACGTAAACTAAGGTTTTAGAAGAAAACTATGATCAAACAGAATAATATAAGAAGGGGAGAAATGAAGAGCAAAGAGCAGACCTTGGCTACTTCCAACAATGGAGAGAGAGAGGCTCAGATTAACTGAAAAGGATATGAAATAATTGTGGAGAGAGAATCAAATGAAAAAAGAACAAGTGATATGGTGTGGAGATTGGAAGTGAGAGAAATATACAGGGAGAGAATTGTCTGGCTTGATTTCCCAAGGTTAGCACTTGAAGCCAAATTCGGGTCACGGAAACGTCAGAGCTTGTGTGGAAAGATTTTTGTTTCATTATCACCCGTCGCTCAAATATAAAATAGTCCACTGAATGATTGTTTGATTTTTTTAATTTAAAATACTTTTAATTATTTAATAATAAATATTTAAACATACTAACAGATAATAAATTTAATTGAAAATTTATATAAATAATAATCATTTTTCTAATCACTAAATTATTTGGTTCGTGTTTTATAATTAATAAATAAAAATATTAATGGCTCTATTAATTAAATACTTGTTAATATTTTGATAAAAGTCGAAATTTGTTATTATTTGTTCTATATAGCTTCTAAAAGATTAATGAGTTTTATATTATATAAAAAACAAATAAATTAATCTTATTATGCATGAATTATGAAAAATTAACTCAATCGAGTCGAAAATCAAATTTCAATCTAAAACTATATTTACATCGTTACGGACACAACCTATTGTTTAAGAGTAAAATTGGAAGAGAAATTGATGTTTCCTTCTTTATATTTCTCCAAACCATAAGTGCGTACACGTCCTAAGTATTCCACAGGGGAACAGGTCAAGGGTAGAAAACAAAAAAAAAAATCCAAACAAGGTGGCAAGAAGACCTTATCTATATCACGTCTCCGTTGTCAACTTTCGGAGTGCCGCGAGTGGAACTACTCGCTTTCTTATATTGGGATGGTGGCCCTCACGGACATCAAATGCGTGTGGTCTTTTGAAACAACTATTTGAGGAGAACCAGCAAAACCTCACAAAAGAAGATGGAGCAATAAAATTAGAATTATGTTATTTTCTTATTAAATTCTTTTAAAACATTGACACGCAACTGCGTGGCTGACGGCTCAGATAAGAAGTTAAACGTAGTTTGCAAGGGGGGGGGGGGTTTAACAAAACCAAATAGGATTAATGAAAATGTATTTTACAAATTAAATAATTTTCTATTTTAATTTCTATCTGTTGTCAAATATTTTTACTATGTTATTTAAAAAACGCCCTGTTGTTTTCTTGTGTTATTGATCTCTAGTGCCAGGAAAATAATATCTTAGTATTTACTAAAATTAATAAAAATGTTTTATTAATTATATTTTATAAATGTTACTTGATCCATGATTATAAGTATTTATTAACATTTTCTAAAAATTAATTAAAAATAATAGAAGAGAGTGGGTGTCCAATTAGGCTATCTAATATTTATGTTTCCATGGTTACATTACAAAATTATATTTTCGTTTATTATATTACGATAAGTAATAATATTTTCCAATTCTGTGGGCCGACTTATGAGTCCCTCAGTTTACCAATATTCTAATACTACATAGGTTCAGATTTTTAAATTTTAACCAATTGATAATAGAATAATGCCAGATGGATTTAGAATTTTTTTAATTAAAATAATATTATTGAAAAGAAAAAATGGAACTTACCTTTAACTTAATTTAGTGTTTAATAAATTATTCTGCATGCATGTGAGATAAAATACTTAATAGTAGATATGATTCGTTTAAATATATTATAGATAAATACTTATAATAAATCTAAAAGGAAGACACAACACATTTAAATAAAAGTAAATTAGGGTAGAGTTGATACTAGTGAGGGTTTCTCTTCACAATTTTGATACATTTAATTAATTATAGGGTAAACTACACATTTAGTACTTAAATTATTATTTTTTATTTCATTTTAGTATCCACCATTAAAACTTAATGCGTTTTGTACATAAACTATCAATTTTAATCCGTTTTAATACCTAAATTTTCAAAAAAAAATCAAAATTTAACGTCAAATTTTGAACATGGTACTAAAATGAAACAAAAACTAAAGTTTTTAATGAGATACTAAAATGAAACAAAAGCTAAACTTTATGTATGGTTTTGGAAAATTGAAAGTTTAGATACTAAAACGAATCCAAATTGATAATTTAAGTACTAAACGTGTAATTTATCCTTAATTATATTTTAAATTTGTTAAATGATCTCGATGGTTAAAGATAATGTTACTATCTCTTGAGGTCTTTGGTTAAAGGATGCATCTATATAGTGCTTATACATTATTAATTGTTAAAAAAATCATGAATAAATATTATTTTATAATTATTTTAGATTATTAAAAAAATACATTTTCAAAGAAATCATTTACATTGCATCGAGGGTGCAAATTATTTTTCATAAATAAGGGTAATATTATGACACATGTTTTATTTATTTATTTTAAAAATTTAAAATTTATAATAAGGATACTTACTATAGTCCACTCTTATTTATCACAAATATATTTACTGATAATACATTTAGGGATGGGCATGAGACTCAAACCCGATGGGTTTCGATCCGTCTCGATCGGGTTTGGTTTTTTTTTAAATTGAGTTCGAGTCAGGTCGTTTTTTTTAAAATGATGTTCGGGTCGAGTAAGATCCGGATTTAGGTTAAAAAATACCCGACCCGATCTGACCTTAAAAAATTATAATTTTACCTTATATATTTAGGAATAATTACAATAACACCCCTCTATATATTATTTTTTAAATAATTTTTTTTTAATTATTTCGAGTCGGGTCGAGTTCAAGTCGGGTGGATGATATATATTTTTCAGATCGGGTCGGGGTGAAGGATATAAAATTTTCGGGTCGGGTCAGATTGGTCGAAACTAAACCCATACCCATCCCTAAATACATTCAGTAATTACTTTATATATACTCACACGATTAATGAAAAAAAGAAAAAAAAATTAATGCACCTCTATTGCATTATCTAGATAGAACCTTTCTTCACAACTTACTCTAGATAGAATCTTTTTAATTGTATTATATTTTCTTCTCTTTTCTATTGCTTATTAGATTTTTGGTTCTTTGCTGTGTGTGTATTGGGACTATTTTGTAGTTTTTATTTATTGGATTATAGCACACAACTGAATGTTAAAAAAAGGTAAACTACATCAATGGGTCACTAATGTTTGAGTGAGCTTCTGTTTTCCCCACTGAAGTTTTAAACGTTACAAATTGATCACCAACGTTATCGAGTTGTAACAAAATGATCACTGTCAATCCCGTTAAATTGATGACGTGAAGATATTTTTAAAAATTAATATTTTATTTTACCCCTAAATTAGTGTTAACACATCAAATAAATCCTTAAACAATGATTCTATATCTAATTTACTCCCAAAAACATTTTAATTTATATTTTTCCCAAACATCCAACCACCTCTACTATATTCAAATCACCTCTCTTACTAAATGAAAACCATACTTAAACAAACTCTCGTCTGTTTAAAGCATTGAGTTTGCCAGATCTAAAGGGGGATTAATACGGTGATGTGAGCGAGATTTATACACCTGCACAAAATGGGGTCGAAGGTTCCTTATGGCTGTTGGCTAAAACTTACGTTGCTGTAAATATTTCTGGTGTTCATGAGCTCATAACCCATTGGTAATTCATATCTAGCAAATAACATACGTTGGTTAGCTTAGCTTCAAATTTGATATAGAGGGGGGTTTTATGAATAAGGTTTAAATAATTTGATTACAGGTTAAAAACTCATACAACAATAGAGCCATTTGTGGTTGCGACGAATCGGCAGCTTAGTGCAGTTTATCCAATTAATAAGCTTTTTCACTCTCACTTCCTTGACATGGTGTTGTATAGAAATGCATTGTCCCGGACCGTTGTTGTTAATGTAGGTGGATTACTAGAGTTGACAGTCTTCCCTACATGGAATTGATGTCAGCAATATTCAAGGATTGGAATTTTTTGACCAGGCCCTCCCACTGATCCCGAGAAAAGGTAAATTTGGTCAATTCAGATAAATTGACAAGGTTTGTTTGATAAATCTACAACGTATTGATTCCATTTTGCTTTATTCAAAGGACTTGCATTCGATGATAAGGATTCACCAAATGATCTTCGGGCTATACATATGCTTTTGATGGATTTGAGATTTGGTTTGCTGCTGAACAATGGGTTCGAGACTATTGTTCATTTTAGTACAGGAACGATGAAATGGTTCGACAAGACCCAGAGCTTCAAACCGGTGGAATGAAGTTCGAGAGGAGGGTCACGGTGTCGGTGACAAGAAAGACGAGCCATGGTGGCCTAAAATGCAAACTTGTGAAGACCTCGTACATTCAAGCACCATTATCAAATGGCTTTCTTCTACTCTCCATGCAACCACTAATGCCGGCCAATATCCTTATGAAGGTTACTCTCAGGGATGGAACGTGGGGCGGGTGGGGCAGTTGCCCTCCATGAAAATTTAAGATTACTATATATTTTAATTTTTTTTTATGTATTTCTTATTAAAAATCTATTACGTCTCCCTAGAATTTTAGTTCATCATTCTTAAGTTTAAATTTGTCCCCAATATAAAATCATGTATCTGTCATTGATTACCCTCTCAATTATCCAATCCTGACCCGTAGGTTCATGCATGAGAAAGACACTCATGAATTGAACTCGAGTCGAATCCCAACAAGATTTTCTTTAAATTAATCACTGCTCAGTTGTAGACAAATGGTATAGCATTGATCGAAATTATGTCTAGGCATTCATCGAACGAAGTTTATCTGGGACAAAGAGACCCACCCAAATGAACGTCCGATGAAACATCGTTAGCACTTAGTAGCTTTTAAGGAATTTGGAAACAGGCGTTATATGAAGATGGTTTTTTTTTAAATGTTGTTTTCGTTTTGCAAGGAGGTGTGATGGGGTGTTTGGAAAAAAAATGAAACTTATAAAAATTTTAAGGTAAATTAGATATAAAAATCATTGTTCAAGTATATATTTGATATTTTAGTAGTAGTTTAGGGGTAAAACACATATTAACTTCGGACCATAATCTACTGAAGAACAAAAAAAATAAAGCCTTTAAATCACCATTTGGGATTCTTAAAACACTTCCAACACCTGCAAG